CAGCAGCAACAGCTCCAGCCCATGGCAACTAACTTCTCTTTTCCCCTGAAGGACACTTATTACCATCTTTGATACCATCTTTCTAAGAGACTGTCAAACAAGGGCTTTCCCTTCTAACAACATTCTCCAGCGAACGAGAAATGAACAAGGCATGTTGTTAAAATGAAAGCCTTACTTAATACTTTACATTTCAAATGCTTTAACTTTTTCCCTTCTTCTCTCTATTGATAACAAACAATTGAAAGGATATTTAATGCTATGTTTACCACGATACTAAGCAGGCTGAGTGTTCTGTATACCCAAACCTAGACTTTGTTTAATGCTGGACAGTTATGCCTATATCTCCCATCTAAATGAATGCAACAGGGCCGTAAAGCCAGCCCACCATCCTGTCTGCAGCAGCACTCACCAGAGGAATATTCAAGGGGTTTGTCTACACAGCAAAAAACAACAACCCGCAGCAGTGAGCCTCAGAAGCCGGGTCTACAGACATGGGCTCGCAGGGCTCATCCCTGGCATTAAAAATAGCCCCACGGGCATTGTGGCTCAGGCTGGAGCTCGGTTCTGAAGCTTGTGGGGGGCGTTGTCAGCGCCCGAGGTGGGACGTCTCTAGCCAGCTCTTGTTAGTGCCCCTGTGCAGGAACCTGGAGTGTGTGGCAGGCCGAAGTGTGAGTCCCTGGTGTAGGGTTTCGCTGTGTAGACGGAGCCAAGGTGTCTGGCTACAGGCTCACAGTCCGGTGCAGTTCCCGGGGGGTCAGGTGATGGGTGTGCTGAGCTGGTGCAAGCGCTGCGGGTTTCTCCCACGGCTGCTGTGTGACTCCCCTGGGACCCCAAGTCTGGGGACGAGCATCCCCTGGCGGGGCTCGAACCCCCGCCACGGCCAGAGGCGCCTGGCTGGGTCCGCGTCCGGCCAGCCTGTACCTCAGCCTTCGGCCACCACAAACACCGACCGCCAGCCTCCGCCTCAGGCCCCGCCCCGCCAGGTGAGCCCCCCTTCCCCGGGCTCCGCCTCAGGCCCGCCCCACGGCCCGGCCCCGCCCCGCCCCGCCAGGTGAGCCCCCCTCCCCCGGGCCTCTCGCTTCAGTCCCGGCCCGAGATGGCGGAGCGCGAGCGGAGGCGGCCCCAGCAGCCGGGCAGGGCGCGCGCGGCGAGCGGCCCCCCC